TAAATAAAATTTTAAAATAAAAAGATTTTTAAAAAAAGGAAGAAAAAAGAAACTTCCCAATAGTTCACACAGCTACTAAGGCACACAGCCAGGGTTAAAACTCAGCTTGCTGGGGCTCCAAAGTTAATGCGTGTGCCATATGACCACCAACTTCTAGACCCATCAGGGCTCGGATGCTCGGGGCCGAATCTTTTAGGGAGCAAATAAGGTAGCATTTTGTTGTTATTATTCTTTTGCTAACTAATGATCCTTGGACATAACTCTAATACATGGAAAGTGAGTAAGTTTATTTGCAGGTGTTTCTAGAAGATCAGGAGACAGAGCTGAACAGTGATCTCAGAAGGAAAAGGGCAGCCACGCTGTGGCTCCCACACTGGACCTTCACCCATGATGCCCCCCTGCCCCGCCCTTCTGGTAAGTATTATTTGCGTACGTGCATGCACACACACTCATTGAGGCAGGGCTCTAAGAGGCTAAATAACCCAACTCTGGTTACACAGCAAGAGGGAAAAGAATTAGAATTCAAAACCAGGTCTGGCTCCGAAGTGAGTGCACTTTCTACCACCCTCGGCTGCCAGGTGGCGCTGACTGAAATCCCCAGGCACTGTCCCCAAAGACTCCTGCACCTGCTCACCTGGGACCCTTCCTCTCTCACAGTCTTCCACTGGGTGGCCTGGTGCAGGGTTTATAAATAACCAGAATCGCACCAGCTGTTCTCCCCCTTTGATGGCAGGTAACGGACCTGAAAATCTACATTCCCGTCCTCCATCAACTCCACTCCCGGAATAGGCACCGTTGGACAAGCTGCATGTGTAGCAACACAATCCAATAAAAATGAAATGAGGAAAACAACTTTATTTCTTACTACGTTCAAGTCTTCCTTATTTGAATTGTGAATACTCCAGTTACGTATCCTATAGGGCCTGTCGAGAAATGCATTTTATGGTGAAATATGCCCCCAGGTGACTTGTGTTGGAAACTCTCTCACTTCCTTTCAAAAGCCTGGGTTAAAGAAGCAGGTGATACGTTTGTGAGAAATTCTAAAGGGCCTCTTAACTTTTCTTTATGCCACTCTCACTCTTGATAGATGACCCGTATTGTCAGGTATTCTCTTTTAGGATATAAAATATCTGCCCCAGGAACATCTAAATCTTGCCAAAGGGGCAAAAACACCCCCTCTAGTCTATAATATCATGTAGTAATATGAGAAATGTACTTATGATATAATGTCAAATAACAAAGCAGGATATGAAACTGTATGAATTAGTTTGATCTCAACACACATCCTGAAAACAGTCCAGAGCAGTTATTTTTGAATAATGGGATTAGGCATGCTTAATTTTCTGTTTTAATTTTCAGTTAAGAGAATATATACCTTCTAAAAAGTCAAATAAAATTACTTAAAAAAGAAAACCATTTTTTCAAAAAAGGGCTTAAATATCATTCAGTATTTCCTGAACACCAAAAAAATCACTGTATGAAATTAAAAACTTTACTACCAGGCACGAAGATTCTTCAAGAAAAGAAAGTTATATGCTAATCATGCTGATGAATATAGATATCAAAATCCTAAGTAAAATACCAAAAAATCAAATCTATATATAGAAAATAATATATCATGAAAGAGTAATATTTACCTTAGAAATGAAGTCTAGAAAAATCTATCAGTAAAATCCACTGTGATATAAACTGAGAAGAAAAATATGTATAATCATTGAAATAAATATAGAAAGAGCATATGACAAAATTCAATGTCCAAATTCAGGATTTATTAAAAAACAATAACACTCCCAAAACAATAAATGAAGAAGAAATAATAAAAAAAAAAACTCTAGTAAAAATTCAAATATCACAGTTACAGGAAACTTAGAAGCACTTCCATTAATTGAAGATCAAATTAAGAATACCTCCTATTACTAAATATTGTACTGACAGACCCAGCTAATGCAATAAGACAAGAAAAAGAATTACTTAAGGATCAGAGAGGAAGACATAAACCTACTTATGAGGTTCTATGTTGCCTCCATAGAAAATCAAAGAGGAATTGGAAGAATTAGTAACAAACTTTAGTAATGCTTTATATTCAAGAGTCAAGATCAATAAATAAACTGTTAACATTTCCATTTAAAATTCTACATATTTTGGCTCAGTCAGCAACATTTGCTTAATGGAATACTTATTTTTCCACAGGGAAAACTGAAGAGTAAGAAATAAATTAATCCTGTTAGGAGCACATTCTCTCTCTTTTTGAATGTGGGTATGTGCTTTCATGAGCCAGAGAAGTCGATCAAGAACACATATTGTTTATCACTGTTATATAGCTAAGAACAATTGTAAAATCTTACTTTGGGACAAATCAGCTATATACTTTTTAAGATCCCCATGGTTCTAGAATGGGTAAGAGAAAACAGTATTATGCTGATGATGAAAATGAAGAGGAGGAGGAGATGAGCACAGAGGGGCACCTGGGTGGGTTGGCTTAGTCGGTTAATCAGCCGCCTTCGGCAGGGTCCTGAGATCAAGTCCCGCATTGGGCTGCCTGCTCATTAGGGAGTCTAATTCTCCCGCCCCCCCCCTCTTCCTCCCCACAACTCATGGTTTCTCTCTGTCTAGCTCAAATAAATAAACAGAATCTTAAAAAAAAAAAAAAAAAGAAGAAGAAGAAGAGTACAGAAATGGGAGAAGAGAAAGAGAAAGGAAGAGAGGAGGGAAATGGAGAGAGAGGACAGGAAGAAAGGAGATAACAAGTAGTAAGGAGAGAAGGATAAGGAGAAAAGGGAAGGAAAAAGAGAAAAGGAAGAGGAAAAACACACATAAAGGCTCTTTGTTAGGGCACTTGTGTGGCTCAGTCAAACATCAATCTTCAACTCAGGTCACGATCCCAGGGTCCTGATATCAAGCCCCAAGTCAGGCTCCCTTCTCAGGGAGAAGCCTGCTTTTCCCTCTCCCTCTACCTTTCCCCCTGTTGGTGCTTGCTCCGTCACCCCCCCTCCACTTTCTCTGTGAAATTAATGAATACAATCTTTTTTAAAAAGGCTCTTTGTTGATCCTTTAATAAATGCCAAGTACTATACTAAGTATTTAATCTGTCTTATCTCAATTATTCTTCATAGTAAGCCTCTGAACTTTAATATAATATCCTTACTTATAGGAGAGAAAACAGATGCTCAGAGAGGTTAAGTAACATTCTAAGGTCACACAGTTAGGAGCTGGCATAGCTATAATTTGAACCTAGGTCTGCCTGTCCAGACTCCATGGTACTGGCCACTCACTAGGAGATATTCCTTGCATTATGTATTGAGCTGATTTTAGAGTCCTATAAGACATGAAGATGAGGAGGTTCTAAAAAGTCACCTTCATACTCCCATCCCAAATCTTCAACTAAGCCAATGTTCTGAAAACCTGAATCCTCATTTTAGAAAGCTCCTGGTTTTGCATTTTAAAATTAAGAATGAAAAGATATTCAGCAAGATACAATTTTTAATGCATTAAGCATTCAAGAGCACAAGTTTAGTGGAAAGGTTAAATCTGAAGCAAAAATATAACTTGTCAGTTTTCACTGAAAAAGCATTTGAATTCTAGTGCATTATCATGCTCTGCAATCATTTTTCTCCATGTAGCAGTTCTCTCAAGACCTGCTCTCTCACTGACTTGCTTTCCTTCTATTATTCTTAGACCATGATGCATGAAATACAAGATTTACATTAAGTTTTAGCAAATAAAATAGGCTGCTTCCAAAATATTTGTGTTTCAAATAAACATCCAAAGCAACATTTACCATCCTTCCTGAGGTTTTGGCTGTCTGGGAACTGCCTGTGTATTACATTTATGTCCCTCGTTTCCTATAGAGTGTCAGACAAATGCCATCACGAAACATGACGGGGCAGGCACAGCAGTGTCTCAAACGAATCACTGCTTATACAAAGCAACTGAGTACATCCTGGTTTGCAAGCCCATATTGACAGATTTCAAGACCTGAAAGAGAAGTCTATTAATCGTCCTCCGTGCAGCTCAGAAGATGAGGGAGAGAAAGACAACACACAGCACGAAGTCGCTTACGCCTAATTGCAACCGGGAGACAAACATCCTGAAAGGCATGGTCATAAAGCCATGGGACCCAATTCTCCAGAAAACACGGAGAGGGTGAGAGTTACTTCATTACCATACTATGCATGCCAGTCCTCATTAGCAGGTCTCTATGTGCCCGCTCAGGGTCAAGCACGTTCCAAGTGTTGGAGTTGATGGGTGAATGAGAGGTCCGGCTCTGCAGGAATGCTTGGTCCAGCCGATAAACAAAAAACATGGGAAATTTTGAATAAAGTGAGATTCTAACAAAGTGCTCCTGCAGCAAAACAAACAAAAACAACTAACCCAGTGCGGGGAGGAAGGAAAGACTGACCTGAAGATTAAGTGGGAGCCAGCCTAGGAACAAGCGGGGAATGACAAAAGGATTTTGCGCTAGATTAATTGTCCAGTGGTTCCCAAAGTCTGGACTCTGAAACAATGGCATCGGCACAATTGGGGAATTTGTTCTAAATGCAGGGGTGAGCCCTACCCCAGACCTCCCGAACCCCAAAATTCTGGGGATGAGACCCAGCATCTGTGTTTTAACAAGCCTTCCAGGTGATTCTGGTGCTGCTGGAATTTGAGAACTTTGGAAACCTGCAAAAGTGAACCCCAAGAGACAGAATGCCTGGAGGATAAACAAGGTTGGATAAGGGGGGGGGGGGGGGGAGGATTAGGCAGAGAACGTTGCTCACTGGAGGGATGGGTAGAAGGCATACCAGGAAGGGTTTTATATGTTAGGAAAATAATTTTGGATTTTACCCAAGGCATAATGGTGAGCCATTAAAATATACACTGCGAGTACAGAAAACAGCAAATAATGCTAGCGCCCATTAAAAAACATATGCCATCACAAAGACAGTGCTATAAATCATTCCAGAGATAAAACACTGCACACATAAATAGCCAGTAAGAAAGGAACAAATCAGCCCTACCTTTCTTTCTGGAGTCTTTCTTGGCGCTGGTTTTCACAGCTACTTGAAGTTCTGTCTCAGTTGACATCCTACTAAATCCTTAGTCCACTTCACACAGATCCCGGGCCTCGGCCAGGCTCATGGAGGACTCCTCTTCAAGACAACGACTCCTCCCTTCAGAAACAACGCTCCGAGCTGCACATCTCATTCACTCCTTTCCGAGTGCTGCGAATCAAGCCAAGAGAATGTTCAGAATCATCACCCTTGTGAGGTTCAACAGAAATTAGTCAGGGGGTGGCAAAAGTGACTGTCAAACATACAAAACCAGGAAAATCTTGGTCTCTGTGTACAAACTGCTCACTCGATGTCACCAAGCCACTGACAGGGTTTGTAGCAAAGGGAATGACAGGTCTACCTGAAACATGGTCTCTCAACCTAGGTACATAACTCGACACAGATCTCTTTAAAACTCTGGATTTCCAAGAAGGACAAAACCCAACTCCTTGTTTTCCACATGTCTTGCTTTCAAGCAGTAGATGCCACCCAGAAAATACAGCAAAGGAGTATTTCCTGAGCAACCCCATGGAGACATTTCCAACAACAGGGCACCCATCCATCAGCCAAGCTTGATCAGAGCCATGGCGACTAAAGCAGATCATAGGGAAGTGACCTGTGGTCTCTCCCTCACTGCCAGGCATCAGCGGGGACGTGAAGTTGACATACAATTGGGCTCCAAGGGTAAGGTGACAAATGGGGCTGAGAAACTTTCCAGCCAGACAATTTTTATGTCAGCTTTTTCCTCAGCTGTAAGAGCAGACAAGCATTTAATGTGGGGAGCAAAAGAGAAGAAGCAGGCAGCCACTCATTCCGTTCTTTCTTTCTTTAATAAATATGCATCGCACATTAGGTACTATTAAGTCCAGACTCTGTGCTGGGAAGAGAGGATAATGATAATAATGATAATACAACCACTTCAATTACAGCTAGTATTTACTATGCACTTACTCTATACTTTGCCCTCAGCTACAGGTTCACATACATTATCTCATTTGATTTCAGTTAAATTGAATGAATGTATCTCCTGTGTCGAGTCAACCATCTTTCCCAGTGACCATCTATCTGAGAGTTACATCAGAGAGTTCAGTCGAAAATAAACATTTCACTAGTTATCCCATTTTTAAAGAAAATGAAGATAAAGCTGCTGGAAATGGGTCTTTAAACTGCGCAAGCCCATTCTGAGCTCATCCCACAGACCCAGAACGGTTGAATCCAGAAAGGCGGACCCTGAATGCCAGTGTCTGCTCAAAAAGAACAGTAAACCAAACCTCTCAATCATAACAACTAAGGAGGGTTTAACTAGGTCTAATGTAAAAGCCACATAAAACTACAGGAAGGCTTTGTGCATTCTAGATTCATCCATGTTGTTACAAATGGCGAGAGGGTATAATGCTGAGTGAACTATGTCAGAGAAAGACTAACACCGTGTGATTTCACTCATATGTGGAATTTAAGAAACAAAACAAAGAAGAAGAGAGGCAAACAAACACACTTCTATATGGAGAGAACAAACCAGGGGTTACCAGAGAGGAGGTGGGGGATGGGGGGCATGGGTGAAACAGGTGAAGGAGGTTAAGAGTACACTTAACTGTGATGAGCCCTGAGAACAGCTGAGTCACTCCACTGTACACTTGAAACTAACAGAACACTGTGTGTTTATACTTAAATAAAAAGACAATAAAATTAGTAAAATTATAGGAAGGCCCGATAATAGGGAAATTCTCACCTTAGCCAAAGATACTTGGTCTATTCATTTGTTAAAAAGCGATTTTTTTTTTTTTTAAATGATGCTGGCCCTGAATGATGTCTCAATGATAGGAACCAAAGCTACAACTAAGGAAAATGCAAAACTGTCTTCCCAGAATGGGGTCCGTGAAATCAAACAGAAAATGGGAACCTTCCCTGCCACCCTTGTGCCATCTAGCTGCACCACGCCACTAACCCTCACCCCCAATTCCCGACCTCTCCCCTGACAGAAGACGACATCCCACAGGAGATGACAGAGATGACAGAGCCACAAAGCCCTACATAGACATAATTAAATTTTTTAATAATACTGATCATCTCATGGCCACAGCCAGCGACAAAGAACCTACGACGAGCCAGGCCCAAATGCGGGCTCATTCACGTCAAGAGACAGCTACCATGCAGCCACCCTGGCTAGGAGTGTGGACTCTTTATTCCTGTCCTCACAGGTGCTCAGTCTAACGGGGATGTCAGGCAGGTAAGGGACTGCAGGACACACAACGGGATTTCTCCCTACTTATGCTACAATCCGCTTTTTGGCCAGCTGCCTAGCTTCAGCCACCGATACACAGCGTGATTTTGAGGAAGTTACTCAACCCCCTCCTTGCCTCAGCATCTCCATCTCCATAATGGGGTAACAGGGAGCCGCTGTGGAAATGAAGTGTGACCACACATGTCACATGTCACACGCTTGGAAGAGTACCTGGTACCCCTTCTGGAAAGCGCTTAAAAAAGATGAGGCGCCAATCATTTCCTGTGTTAATAGCTCAAGGTCACATGGCAGTGCGTGACCTCCGGTCCATACTGTTATTCTCCCTGTACAAAAGAGGAAACTAAGGCAGGTTAAGTCTTCCTTGTAAAGACACTGCAGGAAGAGATAGAATCTAAGATATTTCCATCGTGCTGGTTTTGCACACAGTAGGTACCTAACACAGATAACAGAATGAGCTGAAATATGTAGATTTTACCCAATTTCAAGCCTTCTTATAAGTTCCCATATAGGGGCACCTGGGTGGCTCAGTGAGTTAAAGCCTCTGCTTTCAGCTCAGGTCATGATCCCACAGTCCTGGGATCGAGTCCCGCATTGGGCTCTCTGCTGGGCTGCTCAGCAGGTAGCCTGCGTCCTCCTCTCTCTCTGCCTACTTGTGATCTCTGTCAAATAAATAAATAAAATCCTTAAAAATAAAAAAGTTCCTATATAAAACTGGATGGGAACTGGGCCGTGTTTTCCCCTTCGACTTCATAAAGCACCATACAGCACCTCTCCCTATCCCATGGATATCTCCAACACTGCTTGTTCAACAAACGGGGACTGTGTTCAAGTGTTATAAAGCATTGCTTGTGCATTTCTGAAGAACACCCTGATATCAATAATGAAAGGAAACCAACATTATTTTAAATAAAAACTTCAATAAGGAAGCCGCAGTAAGGAGAGAAGCTACCACAGCCCCGGTCTTGGCATCCCCTTTAATTTTCCAAAAGCCAGAGATTGGGAAAATGCTGTGAAGTAACTCCAAATTATTTAGGAAATTCGTTTCTTTGTAATTAAGGAGATTAAAGTCCCCCAAAGGCCAGGAACCATGTGACAACTGAAATCATTTTTCCCCAGTAAAAGCTGTGAAACCCTATCAGTTAAATTCAGACTCGCCTAGAATTGTGAAATGCTTCAATAATGTTTCTTTGCTCCACACAATCTGCAGTAATTTAATATTCCTGAAGTGTGTCAGGTTTTTTATAATGAGCTCTTCAAATCTAAATGTGAATTATGTAACATTCCACTACAGGCATTCTGTCTAGGGCCCTGCTTCTAAATGTAAAATCCTGTGTTCAGTGAGTTTGGGGGGGAGGGGTTGTGGGGGTAGTTTGTTGGGGAGGGGGGCAAAAAAAACCACCAAACAACAAAGCAGAGAAAACACGTAGGCCTTAAAAGTGAAGAAGCAGCAGCAGCAGCATAAAGGTCTGAGCATCCGTAACAGAAGAAACACACACTAAAACCTACTGTAACACAAGCTCATGCTTTCTCTCCCCCCACCCATCCCCCTCATAAGATTCTACTGTACAACAGCCAGCATTGAGGCGGGCCCGCTATTTGGCAGGTATGCTACTATGAACTTCTTTTATTCAATCTTTCAACCACTTGAAAAGTCAGGTCTTACTATCAGTTTTCATTAAACAAATAAAGGAAAGCAGAAGCTGGTCAGTAGCTGGTCCATGGTCACACGGCTCTTAAGTAGCACAGCACAGGTCAGGGTACAAACTACTCTTCTCCCCCGCTTCCCTCCCCACCAAGTCTTCCAGATGTCCATCAACTGGCCAGTGGAGAAACAAAATGTGGTCTGTCCATGCAAAGGAATACTATTCAGCCATAAAAAGGAATGGGGTATTGCTATATGCTACAATGTGGATGGCCTGTGATAACAGGAGGGCCGAATGAAAGAAGTTAAACCAAAAAGGTCACACAATGTATGATTCCATTTATATGAATGATCCAAAACAGATACCTCCATAGAGAGATGGAAAGCAGATCAGTGGTTTCAAGGTACTAAGGGAAGCAAGGAAGAGGGAAGGGGACTGCTTCATGGGTACAGGTTCTCCTTTGGGGGTGCTAAAAAGGTTTGGGAACTAGATAGAGGCAGTGGTCACACAACATCATAAACATAATAAATACCCCTGGACTGTACATACTGAAAATGTTAAATTTATTTTGTGTGCATTTCACCTAAATTAAACAGAAACAAAACAAGAAAACCTCCAAGCCACATCCCACATCCAGCATGTCACTTGGTGATATGCTAGGAACACTGCAAATTCTGGTCCGAAAAGATAACCTGGACTTAAAACACAGATGAAAACGCAGTCTTCCCAAAAGGCAAACTTTGGGAATAAAAGCTGCATGCCACAACCTGCGTGTCTGGGGACTTAGGCATTTTAATCGCTTTGTCCAAACTATAGAGCACCCAAAACAGGTTATTAACAAGGCACAAGAGTTTGTAACCATCCAGATGAAGAGCCTGTTTCCTCATCGGTAAAATGGAAAGACTACCCCCAAGAATGTAATATTTGGAAGATTAAAGAGTCATACATCTGCTTGTCTTTACATAAAGAAACAGGACAAACAAGGCAGGGCACCAGGATGTCATTTTACTACACAGGGGCATCTGGGTAGGAGAATGACCAGGTGACCGGGTGGAAGGATGTGGCAAAGGATGATACTTCTGAGTCGAGCTTTTTGCATTATTCCCCCCATTTGGAAGCCCACTGTTCTACACACTTGAAAAAAATTAA